ACACAGGCTCCGGGTCACCAGCTGCCCACCTGCCCGCTTGCCTGCCCAGCGGCCCCAGGCCTGGACCCACGGGATCAGCAGTGGAACTGGTAGGACCCGCAGGACAGGTGGTTGCCCGAGAAACCGGGCCTTTCCAGGGGCTACAAAGGGAAGCTGTGCCACAGCAAGCTAGCTGCAGTGTCCCATCCACCCCGCTGCCCAGCAGCAGACACCAGCAAGTCAGCTGCAGGCTGCTGGGTTGGCCCTGGGGACACCTGCCCGACCCCTCCAGGTCTGTAGCCTCCTCTGGGGAGCATTTTCTGCAGCCCCTGCTCCTGAGGGCTTCTCCTCCTTACCCTCCCTTGGGGCACACACAGGGACACAGAGAGAAGTGAGGTGGGTGGTGGGAGGGCAGGGAAGCCACTGGCTGGGGGTGCCACACATAAACCACCAATGGGGGCCTTTCTTCAGAGGGTACAGCGCAGCGTCCAGGCCCCAGGGAGCCCGCTGGACAATGAGCGGTCCCTCACACCTGCTCTCTCCCATGCTCTGGCCAGATCGCACCAGGTCCACTGCACTCCATGCCGGACCCCTCACCCCACCCACCTCATATAACCCGTCCCTGGGCCCAAACCCTTGCCTTGGCCTTCAAGGCCTCTCTCTATTGCTGCCCAAAGCCCCAGCCTTCCCATGGCCCCTTGTAAGCGCCCACTGTCCACACTGCCACCCCTTCAAGCAACTGGGCAGGGAGATTCACAGGCTAGGGCCCCAGACTCCTAGGAGGCCCAGGGGGTGGCCACCCAGCCCGCGGGCACACAGCAGTGCCTGCAGCAGCGTGTCCTTGATAGGCTCAGAGACGGAGCCACACCGTCACCCCCGGAGCCCCGGCAGGCGGGCTGCAGGGAGCACAGCCTTGATGCGGCGTGGCCCTGACAAGTCACCGGAAGTCTTTGCGGGGCTACCCACTGTCCTGGGGCTCAGGGGCTCAGGAGTCTTGAGGGGTCACAGGGCCCCAGCAGGCCTGGGCCGTGCCCCAGGACAGGGGTGGCCGGCCCCCCTCCCACCCTCTTCCCTGCAGCCGCCGCCGCGCCGGCCCCATTATTCACTCCTCAGCCACTTGACAGGACACACAGCTTGTGTAAATCTTTCACGAAATAGACTGGCCAGGCAGGAGGAAAAGCGATTGTGTTTCCTGCCAAGATGAGAGCCCTCTGATTTCAACAGCCCCGAGGCTGGCGGGCACCCTCCCCACCACAGCTGCCTCCGACGCCCAGGGATGGGGTTGCCTGGAACCCCCCACAAGGGGGGCTGGCTTGTGGGTGCAGCCAGAGGCTGTGAGCATCCCGCTGGCCTGCCAGCCCCCAGGCCCTGGTCCCCAGCCACTCAGCTGAGGCATAGGGTGTGAGACAGCTCGGCCCCAAGACTGTTCAGTAGGGGGCGGGACTCCCCCGGGATAGGGCAAGGCTGCCCTGTCTAGTCCCTCCCTGCTGCACCCCACCACCCTGTCCTCGCCTCCAGCCAGCCTAGAACGTCCCCCCTCATGGCCTGTTACAGCCACACCAAGGCATCTGCAGTCCCTGATGTCCACCCTGGCCGAGGGGAGCTGCCCAGCCCTGCCTGTACTGCCTGTACCAGTCCCGCCACCTGGATGCCTGCCCTCTCCTCCTTCCCAGCCTGCCCCCATGAGCCCCTGCCTCTTCCCAGGCCACTGCTGTCCCCCCCAACCTCCCTGGACCTTGGAGCCCCACCTTGGAGCAGCCCAGGATGGCCCTGAGGGCAGCCATGCCCCAGCCTGGGCACCAAGGCTTGCCCAGGACTAACTGGTGATCACGCCTGCAGGTAGCAGCGGGTGGTGGGCAGAGCTGGGGGGCAGCACTGGAAGGATGCCCCAGGGGTCTGGGGACTGTGGCCTGGGCCCACCTGACCCTCTGTGTGCTGACCCTGTCCATGGGGCTGTCACCTGGACAACGCCAGGACCGGCATCCCTGGATGAAGTGCAGAGTGGAACAATCGAGGCCGCGTAGGCTTCCGCCTGCAGGGCACGGCCACCTCCTCCCAGCACCGACCCGGCACCTGAGCCAGGGCCTGGGCAAGGCCGAGGCTGGAGGCCAGGCGGGGGAAAAACCAACATTTCCCCTGATCAGAGCAACGACGCTGAAAGGGGACTTTGAGAGCGGCTGCCGGAGCCCTCACTGATCCAGCCGCACAATGGATAAAGGAGAGCTGCGGTCGGCGGCGTTTCCAGACCCAGCCAAAGGCGACTTTGTTCGTGGTTCCCTCCTCCCCACAAGGGAACAGTGATTTATTTTCCCTTCCAGAAGTGGGGCCCCTGAAGCATAAATGGGGCGGCTGGCCCACATGCCCACCTCCTGGGCACCCCCCCCCAAGCACACAGCTAGGCCTAGCTCCCGCCACGTCCACGGTAGCCAGGCTCTGCACAAACCCCGCTCACCAGACACTGCCTACAGGGGCCTGGGGAGAGGAGCGGGGAGGACCCCAGTGCCAGAGGCCACCAAGGCCCTCCCGCTGGGTCGCATTCAGCCTCAGAGTCTTCCCAACACAGGGAAGGGGTAGCATTCAGCACCAGTGGGTCCCGGTGGGTCTAAGGCAATGTCATCGCTCCAGGTTACCCAGAGCCCTCTGATGTCAGGCCAGAGGGGAGGGACACCAGCCAGCGCACCCAGCCCACCTGGCTCAGGGCTCGGCCCCCGGAGCACACCAGCCAGCTCTGTGGACAGGGCCATGACCTCCTGGGCCGGGTGCTCAGAGATGGAGTCAGTAGGCCATCCTGGGAAAAGCTCAAACATGGCCCCTCTTGGAAAACCTCCAAGACAACCCTGTTGAAATTATTTGTGACAGGTATTTCATTCTAAATCTCTCAAGCTCCCACCGTTGAGAGAGACAACAGAATGGAGAAAATCAAATCTTATCTTTTTTCAAATTGGGGAAAAAAAAAAACCCAGTTTCAAACAAATCCACCAAGATTGTGCAACTTTGGAGAAAGGGGAACTTTTTTTTTTTTTTTAATGGGATCCGAGTTTAGAGATGTGCCGTTTCCAGAAGTTGTGACACCAGGAGAAAACGACTCTCATAAAAAACAACCAGAACCTTCTACTCGCTGGTTGTCAGCCCCAAGGACGGTCCAAACTCGTTCCACTCACCCGTGAGGGAGTAACGCACTTGGATTGGCTGTGCCCAAGTCTAGGCTGGGCCTGGAGGGAAGAAAGTCAGCACCGTTCACGAAAAACGTTGCTTCCGCCTCCCCACCTCCACCCCCAAACCACAGAGGTCCTTGGAAGGCTGTTCGCTCAGCTCCCCAGGGCTGCCAGGGCCTTCGCCACGCAGGGCTCGAGGCAGGATACAGAGCACAGCCCCAAGGCCACAGCCGGGGGGTAGACAAGGACAGAGGGGGTGGCCCATGTGAGGCCCCTCAGCACCCGATGAAGGCCCTGCCCACCCACTGCCATCTGCCACCCACAGCCCCCACCGACTGGGGCTCTAGCCAATGGCCAGGGCAGGACAGTGGCCTCCAGAGCCTCCCCAGCTGAGTGACCAGAGGACAGGCAGGTGCAGGGATGGGGGAATCAAAGCAGATAAAAGAGGAATCAAAGTCTGGGGCCGCTGGCCACCAGGGCCTCGCCCAGCAAGGCCTGAATGCCCGCTGCGGCCAGGACACTGCGGCCTTCAGAACAGCCGCCAGGACCAGCCTCGCCTGGGCCACCCCCACCCTCGAGCCAGTCAGCCAGTCCCCAGAGGGTGGGGGGGGTACCATGGCATAAGGCCCACCTGGGCTGCCGCCCGCCACCCAACACTCGAATGTGGCCATATAAGGCCTGGTCGGCTAAGTGTGCCCGCCAGGCGGGGGGAGGGGGTGCGGAAGCTCAGCGGACTGGTGGACAGTGCAGGGATGATCCTGAGTGGTCAGTACGCCCAAAGGGCTGGCCTGGGCGCAGGTCCCGCCTAGCCACTGGGGAGCCAGCCCTGTGCCCTCCAGCTCCTCAAACATGGCGGGCAGGGCGTCCTGGCCTCGCATCACCATTGCGCAGGGGATGCCCCTCAAAGGCCGGGTCCGGGGGGCAGGGGTCCGCCCAGAGGCATCCCAGGGATGCCCACCTGGGCGTCAGATGTGTAAGGGCATGCACAGACCATGGTGTGACACAGGTCACGAGGGGCACATGCAGTGTGTGGCCTGGAAGTCCGTGGTCTGTGGGGGTCTGCTTTGAGACAACTCCCTGCTCCCCCCACCACCAGGCCAGCCCTGGCAATCACCCAGATGCACTGGGGACTCACGTGACCCCAGCCCCTACCCTGCCTGCCTGCGGATGGGCTGGCGGGCAGGCGAAGGGCACAGAGAGATGCTGGGAGGGTGGGAAGGATGTATGGGTCAGGATGAGTCCTGGCCACCAAGGGCGTCCCCAATGCCTTCCACACTCCGCCCTGGTCACCAAGGGGTCTCTGAAGGTTCCCAGGGGCCTCCTGGGGCCTATTCTGGCCACAAGCAGCCCACTGTTCAGAAAATCCACAGGTTGACCAGCTACCCTCACTGCACCAGGTCCTCTGCAGGCAGGTCTATACGTTAAACAAGACAGGAGCGCAGCCTGGGGGCGGGAGCCAGCAGGAGCAAGGCCAAGAGTGCCTAGGATGAGGGTGGGGGCCTCAAGTGAGCTGGGGGACCCTTCGGGTGAGCCGGGGATACCACATCGTTAGTGGGAGTACCTCTGGGGTGTGCATGGGGATACCTAAATGGTGTGCATAGGGGTACCCCTGGTGTAAGCGGAGGCACCCCTGGGGTGACCGTGGGGGCCCAGAAGCGAGCTAGAGACACCTGGCTGGGCAGCATGGGGCCCCCACGGGTGAGCTGAGGGTATCCCGCGGGTGAGCACGGGGCTCGTCGCAGGCCGGGGCGTGGCGCGGGACGCGGGCACGCGCTGCCAGGCGGGCACTGTGGCAGGGTTCAGGGCCGGGCGGGAAGGGGCGGCGCTGGCGGAGGCCGGGCGACCGGGCCCGGCGCCAGGACTCACCTCGGGCGGCTGCGGCCAGCGGGAGGGCCCCCAGCAGCAGCGGCGGCAGCAGCAGCAGCAACGTGGGGCTCGGCGTCATCTCGGCCTCTCCCGACCTGGGGGGACCCGGGAGGGGGGTCACTGGGCGCCGGGGGGGCGGGGAAAACCACCCCTCCCGGCCTGGGGCTCCAGGGCCGCCCCTCCCCCGTCCCGGGCTGTGGGGACCGGGGCCGCCCCCCACGCCCCCTCCCCGCCCGCGCTCCAGGCGGAGGAAGCCGCGGCGGGGCGAAGCTGCGGGTATCAAAGGCAGACAAAGGGTTTACACTAATTACTGGCCTCCCCCGCCCCCCTCTCCAAACACCGTCTGGATTCCTGGCGCTTGTAACCCGGGCCCTGCCCGCGGGCCACACAACACCGAGCGGCCCCGCAGATAATCGCCTGCGCCATTAGCGGACA